GACATGAAAAAGAAGAAAAAATCTATGTTGCACAGGCTTCAAAAGTGCATGCAAAATCTAAGAACCACCATACTGCCTCCAACTCAACCACGGCTAATCAAATCATAAAAAAAAAATATTAAGTATTAACATGTAAGATACATTTTATAACTAATATATTCTCCAAATATTAACGGATTACGAATATCTTGACTAATTCAAACTACCAATAAATTGCACTAAATTCTGACCGTCTCCTTAGAGCCTTACGAAAAACTACCAACTTCACTTTGGCAAGTGGCTTAGTAATATGTCTGCGACTTGCTCATTAGTATGTATTTTCTGCAATTCAACATCCTGCGATAACACTTTCTCTTGAACAAAATGATAATGAGTTTCAATATGTTTCAAACGAGCATAAAACACCAGATTTTCAACAAGTTTTATTGCACTTTCATTATCACAATTAATTTGAATTGCTTGATTGAGAGTAGTCATCATTTCTTGAATAAGCCTCCTGAATCACAAACATTCTTGAGTAGCCATTATAGCAGCTGCATATTCTACACAACTTGACAAAGCAACGGTACTTTGCTTTTTACTGCACCATGAAATTGCAGCAAAGCCTATTGTAAAACAAAAACCTGTTGTACATGGAGCGTCTATCGTTCACGTCACCAGCCCAATCAGCATCTACAAAACCACTCAATAAAAATGACTTTGATTTCTCATACATTAATCCATAATTTAGAGTGCCCTTGATGTAATAAAGAATCTCTTTGCTGCAATTAAATGAGTCTGATGTGGTTGATCCATAAATTAAGACAACTCCTGAAAAAGTAATGTCTAGCCTTGTGATGGTTAAATAGAATAAACTACCGACAAGTTGAAAGAATATAGCATTTACTAATGACTTCCCTTCATTTCGAGCTAATTTGAGATTCTGTTCCATAGGAGTAGTTTTTTCCCTTGAATTCTCTATGCAATAAACTTGATGCATATTCTTTCTAATAGAGGAAATAACCATCTATCACATTTCTTAATTTTCAAACCCAGAAAACAATTAGCTCCATCTAATCTTTTCATGCCAAAACACAAGTCATCTTGGAGACTACTGATTTCAATAATATCATCACCAGTAATAATCATGTCATCAACATAAAGCAAAAGCAAGTGCATTCAGTTGTTGTTTTCTTAACAAATAAGTTAGGATCGACACATGAAAACTTAAAATCACAAAAATTAAAATATTGAGCAATCTTACCAAACCAAGCACGATGAGCTTGTTTGAGTCCGTACAATGCCTTCTTAAGTCTGCACACATAATCAGGATATTCCTTAGAGGTAAATCCCTGCGGCTGCTTCATAAAAATATCACGATCCAACTCTCCGTAAAGGAAAGTATTTTTCACATCAAACTGCCATAATTTCCAGCCTTTACTAACAACTAAAGAGATGATTGTCCGTAATGTTACCATCCTTGCGACCGAACTAAAAGTCTCATCATAGTCTCGACCATATTGCTGAGAGAACCCACGAGCAACAAGACGAGCTTTGTGTCTATCAATTCTACCATCAGCTTTTTGCTTCACTTTGTAAACCCACTTACAAATAATTAAATCGGCATCATGAGGCTGTGGTACAAGCTCCCAGGTCTCATTTTTTTCGAGTGCTGAAATTTCTTCCATTATTGCATTTTCCCATTCTGAAATTTCTTTAACTTCACTATACAACTTCAGCTCATTTTCACTTGTATCTCCCATAAAAAAACAAGACAAAACAGAAAATTGATTAATGTCAACTACAAAATCAAACAAATGATTGGTAACTTTTTCTATCTTTGAGGATTTTTTCTTGTGGCAACTCAATATTTATAGTGGCTTCTGTATTTTCTTATGCTTGAATGTTTGTCGCAATTGAAAAATCTTTTCTCCCTAACCTAGAATCATCAGGGAAAAGTGCAACAGTAGTCGTAATTTTGTTGCCATTGTCATCGTCTTTGTAACTTGAAATTTCATCAAACACCACATCACGAGACACAATAACCATATTTGTTTCCAAATCCATACACCTCCAACCCTTTTTATGAGTATCATAGCCAACAAAAATACATTTCTTGGCCTTTGGGTCAAGTTTAGTTCGATTATGTTTCAGTACATGAACATAACAAATAGACCCAAAATACGAAAAATAACTCACATTGGGTTTACGATGGTAAATCAGCTCGAATGGGAATGATTCTGTTCCTGGCCATGGAGGCGGCCGATTTATAACATGGCAAGCTGTTTAAAAAGTTGATGCCCATAACTCTTTTGGAAGACTCCTCGCATGCAGCCAAGACAAGCAAACTGATGTAAGATGAGCTAACTTGCGCTCAGCCCCCCATTTTGTTGCGGGGTTTCTGGACAAGTCAATTGACGCTGAATCCCATGCTCCTTACAGTATTCCATAAAATCATTTGAAAGAAACTTCCCTCCATTATCAGTGCGCAAGCACTTGATTTTCAATTCAAATTCTTTTTCCACAACATGCTTAAACTGAATAAACTTTGAAAAAGCTTCACTTTTGTGTTCTAAGAAGTATACCCAACTGAAGCGAGAGAAATCATCCACAAACACCATCACGTAATGAAGGCCGGTATAGCTTGTTGTTCGCGTTGGTCCCAAAAGATCAGAATGAATCAATTCCAATATTGTTGAAGCTCTACTCTTTGAGCTTGTGAAAGGAGGACGAGGAGACTTGCCATATTGGCAGCTTGGACAAATCTCATCATGGTGAATATCTTTAAAGACAGGGACACCATGAAGAAGTTGTTTTGTGGATATTTTCTACAACAACTGAAAACCAACATGACCCAAACGAGCATGCCAAAGAGTTGAGCTTGCATTATGACCAACTTTCTTGATATATTCATCACTAGCAGATGAAACATACAAAGATTCTTTTCTTTTTCGATAGAACAGGATATCAGCAGCAACATGTTTCACATTAGAAAATATTTGAACATCTTTAGGACCAAAAAGAACATACCTTCCTAAATCTATTATTTGTGATGTAGGAACAAGGTTTTTCTTCAAACCAGGAACATGATAAATGTCCTTGAGTAGAACACTCCCATCATTCAAATCTCCTTCTTTCGTCACAGGATGCATTGAATTATCAGTTGTCACAATGATCTTCTTTTGACAATGTGGACGAACATCTGATAGAAGAGTTTCGGGTAACCAGCCACTAACAGTCACATGAGTGCTTGCTAAATATTATTACGTGGTAAGGCTTACACACTGTGTGTATCGAGTAACCAACCAACAATGGTCGCTGAGGAGTGATGGCTGAAAAACTCTTTTAGATGGGTAGATTATACGTGGTGTGTTTCGAGCAATCAATCACCTAGGTCTTTAATTTTGATTGATGAATTATATGATAGTTTGCATATATGACCTCAATAGAGAATTGTCTTATTGAGTTTTACTCACCTTTTTAAAATAAACTTTATGCAAGGGCAAGGTCGTGGCACAAGAGTGATGGACCGGGGAAAACTCTAGAAATTTGTGATTTTTTTGTTTTATTTAAGACGTTTTTGCATCAAAGTAAATTTGAATTTTGTTAAGACACTTATTGGTTATGGTAACTAGGGAACTTTGGTTTTATGTCGTTTTCCCTTGAATTTCTTGTCGATGAACTACTTCGTTAAATTGCATGTTTTTTTAAAATTCTTTTAGAAAGGGGTACTCTCACCATGATTTTCTAAAATGTATTTTAATATGTTAAATGACATTTCGATCCGTATGTATATGAAAAGTCGGGTTATTACAAATTTCGTGTATATGGAGGTAAGAATTTTATATTTACATGATACACTAAACTTTTATGTGACTATAATAGTTCTTTAAATATTTGGAAGATGTTTCATTTCCAATGTGATTTAGTCTATTATTTATTTTTTTTTTTTTTTATGATAATAGTGATGCAAAAACTAATATTAGAAAAATTAGAAAAATTAGAAGACATTAATGTCTAGGAAACTATATAAAGAGAAAGTATCGTAGTAGTGACTAAGATGACTTTTGATAACAATCATTTTGATCTACACAAAAACACTCTCTAAACTAAAATTTTTAAGTGTCATCTAGAATATCTAGGATTACAAAATATGTTAGGATAATAACTGAAATTCTTAAGTGTCATCTAGAATATCTAGGATTACAAGACATGTTAGGATAATAAGTTGGCCATAAGTATTTCCTAGGATACGTGTCATATCTAGCAACACTATTAATACAACCCACTTTGTCATATCTAGCCACACTTTTTCTTGTGCAATTTTTTCTTCACAAGTTTTCTTGTGCAATTTTTTCTTCACAATTTTTTCTTGTGCAATTTCTATAATACATTATAGAAATGGATGGATTTAGTCAGTCAAACTTTAATTGTAACGGTTAATAATAATCAGTCACAAAATGGAGACTGTACTCATTGAGATCATCGATCCTGTAATTTCTGATTGAATGCCTCAAAATTGTGTTCTACACTGTAAGTAAACCTTTGATAATTGCCTTTTATGTTTTATATATATATATATTATACATGTTCTCGTACTTGCAATTTTGTCTAAGTCAAAATTGAAATGTTCTCAACGGATGCAGGATTTGGGACTTGGGACCCGAGAATTTATATGCAAGATAAGCCTAGAAGAGCGTCAATCAACCGAGCGTGGCTGGAATGGAAAAGTAAAAGAGTTTTGAAGACAAGAAAAGAACCACAAGACATTTGAAATAACTATAATAAAATTGGTCAACAAGTAAATTATTGTACCCATCATCCTATACCTTATTCATGCCAATTGAATAGCCTTTTTCTTCATCTTCATCGATTGGTTCTTGCACCTGAATACGATTCCTTTTCCTTTTTTCCTACAAAATTATGTCTTTAAGCTTCATAATACAAACACATGTGAATGGTAATTGAAGAATAATATGAATCTATATCTAAACATCAAATGAATGAAAATGTCAGCTATATAAGATACATGTGAATCCTCTTTAGCTACTAAAAGATCACTTTTGCAATGTGCATTTACAAGCAAAGCTTTTATGGCTATAAGGGCAAGACAACAAAAACAACACTTCTTTATGCGAGTAGCCAAAACCAATCACAGCCAGAACCAGTAATATACTTCATAGAGCGATTAAAAAGAAACTTGCAACAACCCCCTCACTTAAACTCAGATAATAGTATAGATTTGAAGGATTGGAGGCTAAATATTTCTACAACAATCTCCCTCCCTCAAATTCAGAATTCTACTTGGAAGGATTGGAGGCTAAATACTTCTGTGAGCTATTTTAGCCTCCTTTCCCCATCAGACAGGACTATCAGGAAACAAAGACTATACAAAATAAAAGCAGTCCACAAGTAGTAGAGAAAATTTACCAGGCCACCAAAGCCAGACTCTTGCCACGATATTTCTTTATTGCTAAATCTATGATGTTGCCCTTAGTTCCCCGTCTTCAAGCTGAAGATTCTGTGCTTCATTCTGAAATTATTGGCAATCCAAAGATGCAACCTCTTATTAAAAACATATGACTTGTAACTATGGCTAGATTATGAAGAACGTCCATATAATAATATAAAATTCTGACGAATGCAAAGCAGTCTGGTGAAATATCAAAGAAAAATGCATTGTAACTTGAATAAAAATCATGAAGGTTAGAGTTTAAACATGAATACTCATCTTATTGATATAAGTTGATTCCAAAGATGTGAGAATGCATAAAATCTTAATTATTCAAGGAGGTTACCCAAGGTGACTAGTAATTTTGCACCATTTGGGGTGGGAAGGAGAAATTACCATATTACAAATGAAATCAGAACTAGACATTGGGCGATGTGCCAACGAGGAGGCTAAGCCTTGAAAGAGGTGGATACGAGGCGGTGTGCCAGCAAGGACACTAGGTTCCGAAAGAGGGTGGATTGGGGGATCCCACATCGATTGGAGAAGGGAACGAGTGCCAGCGAGGACGCTGGATTGTGAGATCCCACATCGGTTGGGGAGAATGAAGTATTATTTATAAGGGTGTGAAAACCTCTTCCTAGCAGACGCGTTTTAAAAACCTTGAGGGGAAGCCCAAAGAGGACAATATTTGCCATCGGTAGACTTGGGCTATTATAATGGTATTAGTTAACATGTAGACAACTACATTAAGGCAGTCTCCTTCAATAATTCCCTTAATCAGTGCCAATCTTTGCAACTTACAATAATAGACATGACAATGTATTCAACTTTCAGAATGCTATCCGCACACATCACTCACTCGGAGAGAACAAACACAAGAATGCAATAAGATATGGCTCGACCAACAATACAGCCACAATGAACACGTTATTCTTCAAAGAAAAACAGAGATAGCATTAATTCAATGTCCAGAATATTCACTCCATTACCACGTCTCTACAACTTCAAATTCTATCGCAAATTTTACATTCCTCTCCAATGATTTCTTCTAAATCAGCAAAAACTGCATGTTTCCACCACAAAACATTAATCTAATACTAATTTTTGACTGGCAGGTAGGAAAACAATGAACTAAAGAGGAGTAATATTCCCTGACCATATCTTTCTATAAAATTTTGAAGAACAGGAATCAACAAATATCCCAGTTCTACAATATAGCAAAGCAAATCAGAACATGGATTTTATCGTAATGATAACTAGCACAACATGCCTGCCCTATGTGAAGTATAATACCAATGCTTCCTGATCCACAATGAACAACAATATTTCCCAAAACAACGCAAAAATCTAACCAAAGATATCAACATCATCATAATTACTATCGCACCATATATATCAATTCGGTACAAGTAAAATAGATGATGAACCAGCAAAAACAATAGCTCCAACGTACCATGAAAACGCCCCATCCAAACCGAGAGAAACTCCATCCAACGCGACGGATTGATCAACCGGATCAGCCGCAGTGCAATCAGGCGGGGACTCAAACAGAGAAAGAGAGAACTGTTTGTCAACAACGCCGACGTCGAAATGTATTACACCAGAGGTGTGCAAATCGACACGAATTCCCTTAACAGGAAACCAAAGAAAGAGCTCCTGCGAAGAAATTCCAGCCAATTCAGCGATCTGGCCGTAGGCGAGCCTGCCGGAGACGTTGAAATCATAGTGAACCTCATTCTCGAACTTGGCATTGCAGGGCTGGTCGAGGAAGACCTGAAAACGGCCGGTGGAAGAGTCGATTGAGAATCTGGTAATGTTCTTGGGGAGGAGGCCAATGGGGAGGCCATGACGATGCAGATGATCGTAGATGGTGGCTGGCTCAGGAGCGGCGATGAGAGGAGAGGCGAAGAATAGGATGAAAGAGAGGAGTGAGAAAGGGGAAGAGATAGAGAGGATCATGGTGGAAATTGAAGAAGAAGAATGAGGGGAATCAGGTTTTTGAGAAATGGATTCAGAGGTTGAAGAAGGCCACGTGGCGGTACATGGCTTTACATGGACTGTCAAAGAGGTAGGATGGGCAATTGGTCAGATCTAATATGGATGGTACATGTATGGTAATTAGAATCGGCAGCTCTTTTTGGGTTCCCTCACAAAACATGTTAAGGAAAAGTGAAATGGTAGCTACTTTTTCCCTCAAATAGAGAAATAGCCGAAGGGCGTAAAGGACAACTGAAACAGCAACTCGAGGAAGAGTGGAGGTCTAGCATTAGGTATTGATCAAATGCTGGAAAGACAAGAAAACTTGCTTAGCTTATGTGAAACCAACGAAGCAAGATTTGAAGCATACTGGTCTTATGCAAGGAAGAGGAATAAAGCAATAGAAAACGTCTTGCAGGGCAAGACAACAAAGTGCACGACTTTTTCAAACTTTCGAGAAGAGATGTTTTTTTAAGAATGGGCTAGAAAAAACGTATCACAGAAGAAAAAGCTTCTCATTACTTAGAGGCACCTGCATTCGCACTTTACTTGGTTGTTTTGGTTGCCTGCATATGGAATTAGGTCATGTTCATGCGTGTGTCGCGAAATCATCGTCGCAATTTTTTAACATCATAAGTCATAGGTTTTTAATATTTTTATCAATCCTTATATTCAAAGATCTAAAGATTTGCAACAAATCCACCTCCAGACATTTATGGACCGAACAATTTATGCATCAAATACACTTTTTTCATGACCGACAGTTTTTTGTATTGATAGCACCTTCAACAGAACCAACGTTGTCTTCTCCTTGATGATGTTGAACGTCACGTTTCTAGACAGCGTCAACCGGATCAATCCTAGAGTCTGGTGATCCTTGAGCTTCCACTACTCCATGGTCATGGTATTCGGTTTCACCCCGAACAAGGGTTCATGAAGATCTGTATGGTACAAATAATCTTCAGTATGCATCTTCCAAAAACCAAAATTATATTCATCAAACCTCTCGATTCCAATCTTTGAGCTTTCCGTCTTTCACAGAACGTGGTGAATCTAGTTTGGCTCTGATACCGATTGTTAAGATTGTACAACAACTCACATACTCGATCTGGATGAACACAAAGAATGTACAGTAATAGAGAATACAAATAATGTAAAATGTACATTCTCACAACAATGGTGGAGTATTTATATTGTTAATTGTATCGTATATAACTTTGTTAGATATATCCATCTACAATGGGTAAACATCTCCTATATATATATATAAACTCACTATACATATGTCATTCTATAATCTTCCTTCTTCTAAGCCACACTATTCGACTAAAATTATAGCCCACAAACATGTTCCTTCTAGGATCTTTAAACCTTTAATTTTTAAGAATTTGGTATAATTATTATTTATTATATTATATTATATTATACATATATTAGTTTAACAAAAAAATATTTTGAATTTTTAACATAAAATACTACAAAAGCTTTCTTTTCATATTTTTTATATAAATTAGCATTTTAAACTTTTTTTTTTTTTTTTACATTAAAAATTTTCACTATTACTTTAAATTTGGTACTTATTTGGTGCCTAAACTAGCTAAATTTAGTAAATTTAGTTCCTAAGCTTTTGATTTTTTTTTTAAATTCGTGCATTTATTAGCTAAAAAATTGAAAGTTTAGAATTTCATTGGACCAAATTAAATTTATACCTAATAGATCAATTTTGAAGGACATTAAATAGTGAATGAATTAGACACAGAATTAAAAGGTATCATACAATTTATAAGTACTTGGTAAACATAGGTGAAGAGAGAAGGTTCCCAAAAGTTGAAATAAGAATGGTTAAATAAGAATGAAGCACAGTAAAACATATCATGATAATGTTAACTAAACACACCATCTTCCAAAATGAATAGAATTATGGAAGCCCAGCACCCACGATTATCTGCTAACATACAAAGAACAAGTCACAGCCTCGGTTAAAATCATATATCAACACAAGATCAAGAGTTCCAACCTATGAGGAGATGATGCTGAGCAGCGTAGCACACAGAAGTCGAAACCACACGAGGGGCTAAGAGTGGGAGGGAGAAGGATATTGTGAAGGCATGCAGGTCTGGTCTAGTGAACTACTCGGTTGTCACACTCTTGGCAAGATTCCTAGGTTGGTCACAGTTATATCCCCTAAGAACAGTGAGATGATATGCCAATAACTGCACCAACCAGAAAAGAACAGGGGAATGAATATCATAATCCAACACAAATATACTGCCATTTTAATCATTCATGGATATCTACCAAAAACTATTCCAAATCTCAATTTACTCACTATCATATCTTCTAGTCTGTGTTTTATAGTGTTACATTATGCTATTTAGAATTAGGATTATTTGATATTTAAGTTCTGTTTTGAAATTTCTTGAAGCATATTAATCTTAGTTAATTTATAAGTTTGATCCCCCTTTACTCTTATGCCTAGTGAATAGTAGGTCTCCAAACTCGTCTAACAAGTCATAAATTTTAAAAAGTATCTAATAAGGGCGTATCAGACATCACATCAGAAGTTTAAGGATCAATTAGATAAAATCGGACGAACTTATGATATAACCATCAGCCTTTAACTCAAATTTCACTAGTATATAAATGAACTATTGTGCTTGTTTTTACGTTTCAGGTCAATCGAGTAACCAACAAAAGTCAGTATAAATACCTGTAATGGAATGATATTAATGACGGGTTGAAGGCAATCCTCGACGTGGGGAACTTCTATTACTCTACAGGAATCTCCAGGGCACACACTTTGAGCATCCCCTTTGGAACACATTACTATGAGGCGACCTTTGCGAGCATGAAGTTGTTGGATCACAGACTGCTGCTTGCTGTTAACAGATTGATTTCTCAGTAAACTACGTTCCCAGAAAATTTATACAAGTCTACAGCAGCAAGGAATTAAACCTGAAGCAAGCATCACGTGTAGCAATGACAACGATTGGGAGGTTTTCGTCGACCAATGCTAAAGGACCGTGTTTCATTTCCCCGGCAAGCAATCCTTCACTGTGCATTAGGGCCACTTCCTTTACTTTCAAAGCACCCTCAAGCGCTGTAGCATAGTTGTATCCTCTCCCAAATACAAGAAGTGACTGCTCGGCAATCAATAGTTCCGCAAGATCCTTCATTTCCTGATCAAGTTTCAGCACTTCCCTCACTTTGTCTGCAATTATAAATTTCAAAAGTAACTTTAACTTGTGACCTTTGTTACCTAAACAAGAACCCTTTCTGCACGCTCACATCAAAATGGTAAAAACAAATTAGAAAAATGAGGTCTACATCTTGTTTCAGACCTTGAATTTTCGAACCCGTTTCGTTTTGGTTTTAAAACTTTTAAAGGTTTGGTTTTCGTCCCTATCAAAATATATATATTTTGGTCAGCAGTAAATTTTCATAATCATGAGATACTTGACATACTACACGACGTCAAAAACTGATCCATGAAAATATCAATTAATCAAGTAAACGAATAAAATGTGTCGGTTTTGGGTTCTACAAAAAGATCAAATGATCTTTTATGCAAAGTAAAGTACTAAGACAAAACGTTCGAAAGCTTAGAGACTAAAACAAAATAAACATAGAGCTTAAAGTCCAAAATAGGATTTAAAACCAAGCAAATAAATAAACGAAGAAGGAATATAAATTAAGTAAAACGAGACTTACTTGGCAAGTCAAATAAGCCATCTATTATAGCCTCTCTTCTTCTTTGATGGGAGATTGAGTCCCCACCAATTGCAAGAGCCATCATGACCATCACAACTATTTGACTTGTGTATGCCTGTAAGTTTTCTAAGTTAACAAAGGCCATCAATATCAAATTAGATCAAGAAAAAAAAGGTTGGGTGAATCCAATCTCACCTTTGTACTTGCAACGCCAATCTCAGCACCCGCATTTATATGAATTCCACAATGTGTATTCCTGGCTATTGCACTACCAACCGTATTCGTAATACCAGTGCACAATGCTCCATTTTCTAAAGCATACTCCAAGGCATGTAAAGTATCTGCAGTTTCACCAGATTGACTGACAAAAACAGCCGTATCTTCTCTGTATATTGGCCCTTGGCGATCCAAGAGATCACTAGCAATTTCCATTGTAACGGGAACACCTACATCAGACAAGGAAAGCGAAGTACGAAAAGTTCAGTAACCACCAATGTTTACTATTGAAAGTTCTACTTACAATCTAACAATCAGTACCAGATAGTTCTTCAAGGATAGGCCTGGCAGCTAAAGCAGCATTATAGCTTGTACCACAACCGACAAAAACGATACGCCTGCTTCGCCTTATTGTTTTAAGGTGATCCTTTAGTCCACCCAAAAGAAGAGTTTTATCTTTAGAAGAAGTCCGACGTATTAGCCTCCCCCTCATGGTGGTCGTTAGAGATTCAGGTTGTTCGTGAATTTCTTTCTGCATGTAGTGCTCATAATTTCCCTTATTTATTTGCTCAACCTCCATTTCAAGAATAGATAGCGCACGTTGGACCGATGCAGGTCTAGAAAGAGAGCCACAACTTTTCCCCTTCTCCTTGTCAAACTTCAATATGGATACAGCTCCATCCTAGGGAAAACCACATAAGATCCCTTTGTTTATAACAATCAAAACTAACACTTTCTGTGTAATTTGAACTAACAATTATCAGATTAATTTGCTTTACTTCTGAAGCTTAAGAAGAGAAATCCTATGTCAAACTATGCCCCAAAGTTGATCAACAACTCCATATTTTGGTGTGATGAGTTGGCATAGGAAAAGATTAATCCGCCCTTCATACTATTAACGATTTGTTTCTCAATAAGAACAAGGCTTACACAATTAATGATTTGTTTCTCAACACGGCTTACACAGTAAATGATTTGTTTCTCAACAAGGCTTACACAACTATCTCATCAGTCAAAACCAACATGTAAAGTTATAAAAGTAAATGCCTAGAATAAATGAAGAAAAATGCAGAGTTCGAAAGAACGGGTTGTAAACCCAGCTAATTATGGCTGCAACACAAAAGTTCTTAAGGTGGAAAAAGAGAAAAGAGATGAAAGAAAATAAAACCTTGATATGAACAACTTCACCATCCTCTATCACCAAAGCTTTCTTTGTATGTTCAACTACGGCATTAGCATCGCTGGATAAGAAAAGTTCTTTTGGGTGTCCATTTTTCGAAAGAAACTTGTCATCGTTGAATGCTGCTGATCCATTGCAGGTAGGTTCAGCTAAATCCTAACATAGGAATTGAAGTAAAAACAAAAAAGAGGAAGAGAGAAGTTAGAGGTAAGGAAGGTGACATTTACAAGTGAAGAGTATATTAGTCAAAGTTAAACAAAGTATTATAAGAAGCCACAGAACTGAAGTTTCATTGAAAAAGTTATTTCACCATAACA